CCCGATCTTCCTTCCTGGTATTGTAGTACTTTTAAAGTTTTCTCACCGGTGAATGACACATGATGTAGCCCAGCGGTAAATCCAGTCCTCGCGCCAGCTCGTTAGAAGTGAACTATGTGCATGAACTGTGTTCTGATCGATATGATCCCTACACAGTGTTCATTGCTCCCTCCTCCCTGAGTGGGGGACATCCGTTGAAGGTTACTTCACTTCGGAACATGGGCTGGAATTGGGAACCGCTGTTGTAGCCTATTGTAGTAATGTTGTCTCTGGTATTCTGGTCTGTGAGTGTAAATGCGTTAAGGGGGTGTGGCTTTGGACGGCGATTGCAGGGAGGGTGGGACGTTCGCTTTCAGTGCTATCAGGCTAAAGTTAGCATTTTCCAAGATCTCCTACTGCACCTTTAAAGACTGTGTTCTTGAGTTTACTCCTGTGTCTCCTCGTTCCTCCACAGTAGCGGAATCATGATAGAATACCGGACCAAGACAGTAAGCGGCGCCCCTTATCCCCGTGTTTGTTTTTGGTTTTGAAAGGTTTTTGTTTCCCGTTTGTTTCTCCCTGTTGTCAAGCCCGCCGGCCGCGGCTCCCACAAGCCCGCCGGCTGCCTCCTAAGTTTGCTCCCATGTCGGCTCCAGCCCCAGAGCTCGCTCCCGTGTGGGCTCCGGTTCCCGAGTTTAGCCCAAGTAGGGCTCCTGTTCCCGAGTTTAGCCCACGGAGGGCTCCGAGTTCAGTCCACGGAGGGCTCCAGTCCCCGAGTTCAGCCCAGGGAGGGCTCCAGTCCCCGAGTTCAGCCCAGTGAGGGCTCCAGTCCCTGAGTTCAGCCCAGAGAGGGCCCCATTCTCCGAATCCAGTCCAGAGCGCACTCCTATGCCTGCACCTCCAGAGTGCCCTCATGACCCCATTCCTGCCAAGATGCCCGTAATTCGCCCCAAGTATTTTTTGGGGGAGGGTTATAGGGCTCCAGCCGTAGGGGCGTGGGCTGGGGCCACGGCCTCGGAGGCTGCTCTGCCATGGCCTCCTGAACTGTCTGCTCCGCCACGGCGTTCTGAGTCCCCTGATCCGCCATGGCCTCCTGAGATCCCTACTCCGCCATGGCCTCCTGAACTGTCTCATCCGCCATGGCCTCCTGGATTGCCTGCTCCGCCGTGGCTCCTCGAGCTGCCTGATCCGCCGTGGCGCCCCGAACTGCCTGATCTGCCATGGGTCCTGGAACGGGTACCGCTCCCCATTGGATGTTGTGGACCCACCCCCCCCTCCCCGTTGGATGTTGTGAGGCGCGAGGATGTGCCTTCCGGGAGGGGGAGTAATGTCAGACTGTGTTCCCGTGTCTTGTGTTTTGTTCCCCTCGTGCTCCATGTCCTGGTTTTCCCTCGTGTTTCCTTATGCCATTGCCCATATTTGGTTCTTCCTGTTCC